GAGGGAGGGAGGGAGAGAGAGAGAGAGAGACAGACAGACAGACAGACAGACAGAGAGAATTTTAACTAGGCTCCACACTTAGCAAGGAGCCTGATGCAGGGCTCAGTTTCACGACCCTGGGATCATGACCTGAGCCAAAATCAAAAGTCAGACACTCAACCGTTTGAGCGACCTAAGTGCCCCTCTGTTCTTATATTTTAAATTCAGCAATAGAGAATGAGCCTCAGAAACCCTAGGCCCCCATTCTCTACCCCAATAAAAGCAGAACCCCAGCCTCTTGCTAGCTTTCTCTCATGGTCTCTCTCTCTCTCTCTCTCCCTACAACCTCGATGTGTGGCCCCAAGTGTGTCATGTAATTTCCAGGTCTCATAAGTAATAAACCTTTGTTTTTTTTCAAAGTTTCCCGAAGGTTCTGCTGAAGGGCATCTTGCTGTCATGATAAGAATCACAAGGGCTGGTCCAGACACAACATTGTTCATTGATAGGCTGGGACCTGCACACAACACTGACCTTTGAGAGTCCTGCTGAGATCACCCAGCAGAGGGCTGCATTCCTGAAGACAGCTGGACTCAGAGCAGGCGGTGGCCACAATTTCCCCTTGTGGGGCTTTGGCCAAGGAGATGGTCTCACTAGGCCTAGCTCATTTCTCCTGGAGTCTCTGACGCTCCCCAGCCTCCTCGCAATCTGCAGAAGGCCCACTGCCCACGCCTTAAATAGAACTACCACATCTTCCCACTTGCAAACCATCCCCCCCAACATCCGCTCCACCCGGTCACCTCCTTTTCCACACTGCCTGAACCCTACCTCTGCAAAGCCCTCACCATGTCTGCCTGTCCATCTCAGGGGCCATCGCCCCCACCAGCCAACCACAGGGTCCCTGTGTAGTCAGCTCTCTCGAGATGAACTCTGCCCACTGAAACTACTGGGATCCTTTTCTATATAAGCCGGCTGACCTTTATGGGGCCTGCCTCAGTCTACCATATGGTGTAACAATACTGACCCTCCCAAAGGAAAGATCTTGGGGGCTCAATCAGGCTGTCCATTAGAACTTTCTGTGATCAAGGAAATATATTATGTCTGTGCTATCCAATGTGGTAGCCATTAACCACACATGGCTATTAAGCACTTGAAATGTGGCTAGTGTAGCATCAACTGATTTTTTAATTTAATTGCCATTAAGTTTTATTTTTTTAATTTACCTTTATTTATTTCGAGAGAAACACGGAGAGAGAGTGGGGGAGGGGCAGAGAAAGAGGGAGAGAGACAGAATCCCAAGCAGGCTCCACACTGTCAGCACAGATTCCAATGCGGGGCTTGAACTCATGAACTGTGAGATCATGACCTGAGCCGAAATCAAGAGTCGAACACTCAACTGACTAAGCCACCCAGTGGCCCCTAATTTTCATTATTTTAAATTTAAGTAGCCACATGTGTATAGGACAGTAGCAGAGATACCTTTTTCCTTGGTCTCCTTGCAAAATGGTCTTCCTCCTTTATAGCTCCATATTCCAAGGTGTTTATGGCAAATGGATGGCCTTTGAGAACCCCAAAAAATATTAGCCCATGCCCACTCAGGCTCTTGTCAAGTCCACATGGACTTGAGAGAGAAAAGAGCTCTCTTCCAGGACCACATTCTGTCTCATAAGTACCACTGACCTCTGCTCCATCCCTCAGAGTACAGGCCCCTCAAAGCTTCCAGAGAGATCCCCTGCCCATCTCCTTTCACCCCCAGAACACCCTCTGGGGCAGACAGGGAGGGTTGTGATGCTATTATCATTTCACAAATGAGTAAAGTGAGGCCGGCCCAGGGCAGGACAGAGCAACTCACCCAAGATACCAAGCTACTCAGAGACAGATGGAAGTAGGGCTGAGGCCCAGGTTACTCCTTAGCCTCTCCCAGCCTCAGCCTACCCTCTCACCCCCACCACTCCCCTCTGTGGGTGATGGGAGCAGGACAACCAGGAATCATTTTGAAAAAGGTAAGCTCTGACACTTATCATACAACCCAGAAATTCCACTTCTGGGTGTTTACCATCAAGAATGTGGGGCACCTGGCTGGCTCAGTCGGTAGAGCACACAACTCTTGATCTCACAATTGTGAGTTCAAGCTCCACACTGGATGTAGAGTCTACTTAAAAAAAAAAAAAAAAAAAGAGGGGCGTCTGGGTGGCTTAGTCGGTTAAGCATCCAACTTCAGCCCAGGTCATGATCTCACAGTTCATGAGTTTGAGACCCCTGTCAGGCTCTGCACTGTCAGTGCAGAGCCGACTTCAGATCCTCAGTCTCCCTCTCTTTCTGCCCTTCCTACGCTTGCTCCCACGTGCGTGCTCCTTCTCTCTCAAAATAAATGAACTTAAAAAAAATAGGGACATACCTCCACACAAAAACTTGTATGAGAATGCACATAGCAACTTTATTAATAATAGTCAAAAACCAGAAACAAGCAAAACGCCCATTAGCAGACCCATCAAACTGGAAGACCCACACGACGGAATGCTACTGACAAGTAAAAAGGAAAGAAATGCCAGCATACTCATCACAAATAAACCTTACAGACATTATGTTCGGTGAAGGAAGCCAGGTACCAAAGATCACCTACTGTATGATTCTATTCACATGAAATTTCCAGAAGAGGCAAAACTATAGTGGTAGGAAGTATACCGGTAGCTGCCAGGGGCCAGGGTTGGGAAGAAGAGATTGACTACAAAGGGGCTCGAGGGAATGCTTTGGGGCAATGAAAATGTTCCACATCTTGACTGTGGTGGTGGTTACACACTTGTAAATATTTGTCAGAACTCGTATCATTAATCTTAAAATTATGAATTTATACCACTATTTTAAAAGTTGTAGTGTAAGGGGGCACCTGGCTGGCTGAGTCGGTAGACCACGTGACTCTTGATCTCTGGGTTGTGAGTTCGACCCCCCCACACTGGGTGTAGAGATCACTTTAAACAAATAAAATATTTAGGGGTACCTGGGTGGTTCAGTCAGGCAGTTAAGCGTCTGACTTCGGCCCAGGGCATGATCTCGTGGTTCCTGAGTTTGAGCCCCACCTCGGGCTCTGTGCTCACAGCTCAGAGTCTGGAGCCTGCTTTGGATTCTGTGTCTCTCTCTCTGCCCCTCCCCCACTCACACTCTGTCCCTCTCTCTCTCTCTCTCTCAAAAATAAATAAAAAATTAATTAATTAATTAATTAATTAAAACATTTTTTTTTTAATTTTT